ATTACTCACGGAACAGGGTGAGAGAGAGCTTCGAAATACCAGACAGAGTATAGTGCCTTTTGTGGATCGAGGAAAGTGGAATGAACCGCCCTTGCAGTGTTTTGAACGTCTGATTTCCTGCAGAAACGTCACAGAGGAGCGGAAGGCGTGTTCCCAAATTCGACCTATGATGCGTTGACACACCCTTCGTACCGTAGTTTCTATCCTGGCCGTGTTGCAATTATAAGAAGGTTATGGGCGAACCAAGGTTCCGATTTTGACTGCCTGGTATATTTGAGTTCAACGGTCAACACTGCCCAAAACCCTAACGGGATAAAGGAGGGTCTCTTGGGGGTTTGTCTTGACGAGCCAAATCTGCTCGGCGACTCGCCCGGGGCAGTCCGTTTGCAGCGGAGTTGTAGCGGTGGTCGTTCTGCTGGGAATATCCTGTAGACTGATTAACGTTTGCGGCGCTTGTTGAACGGTATGTTGATAACGAAGAGCCGCCTCTGCGTGGAAAAGGCCGCGAGTAGACGCCGGCCGCCACTTGACGGGCGCCAGGGAGCAGTCAAACCTTGGTATGGATATGCTTATCTCTTCCAGTGCGCGGGGAACTCTTCGTATCGTGGAATGAATCTGGTTAACGAGGCTGGTTCATATCGTAACTGGCTCGAAGCAACCATTTGGCAATTCAAGCGTGTCCGTTAACCCACCACTGGCGATCCCGTAGCAGGTCCTATCTAAGAAGCCAGCGTCGTCGTCGTCGTCGTAGCGGAGAGCGTAGTGGTTTTGCGGATAAGAACTGGGGGCAAGCAAGTTTGGGGTATTGGGGGATTGGAGGGGCGGAGGAGGATGTCTTGGGAGGGGAAAATATCTAGCAACTGGAGTTCTTTCTTTAATCACGGACAACAAGCCTACGACAACTCCAATTGAGGGTAGGTACATGTGCCTTGGACAGGCCACAGACAGCGAAACTTGAACACTGTCGGGATCGTCGCCAATTGACCGGCGCAGTGTGAGATTTTTGTATTCATATACGGAGAGAAAACAATGTCACCAGGATCTGCGAAAAGAGGCGGTACAGTTGATACAAAGAGCATTAGCCACCATGCAGCGATCCTGGGAATCTGCGGCGTCGGACTAGTTTTCCTTCTCTCAGAACTCACAGATCCTCTCCTGATGGGTTGAGATAAAGAGATTGAAACGATGGTAAGAAGCTCTTCCTGACTCGGCAATCAAAGCTCATACAACTAGTTAGGCGAACTGCGCGGGTGGAATGGTATATCCTACGGCTTGCAAAAACAATTCAACAAAGAAGCGCTGTTTGTCAATCATCTCAAGCTCTCCGGTGATTGCTGTTATGCTGTCGATCCGTGCTTAAAGGGCGAACAATCTATTTCCGATGCAGACTTTCGAGAAACAAGGGCGTCGTACAGTTGGCAACAAAAATGAAATATGGCTACCTACTCGATGATTATCGGGGGAGAAATTGCATGCAGGAGATGATGGCTCCAAAGTGCTCTGTTGGTCCAAGGCAAACGGTCGTCAAAGATAGAGTCACTCCCTACTGCGTACATGTTGGCTCCCTAACTGGCCTGGCAACATGAATGAAGTTCAACGCTCCAGACCCCTGTTTATTGGGGCTTGAAAACATCGACGAAAAGGATCGGCCAGATGCAGGAAATCACATCTTATTGGGCGGATCACATCACATATCCCAGTGACGATGCAGCCCAGGGACGAGTGATATCAAAGCACAGGCTTTAGCTTGGAAATCGGAGCGGCCGCCACCATGAACGGTCCACCCTCTGGAATTCTTTGACTCAAAGAGAGCCATTCGAAGTTGAGGGGGGGGCGTGTATGTAGCGCTTGGTAGGTACTGTACTGTACGCTGGCTGGCATGTGAGTTACGTGAAAGCCGTAAGCACAATGTCCAGAGCCCAACACGTCGCCAATAAAATACGAATGACAATACGATGCTAGGAAGCTTGAGGACAAACAGCATGCGCTCTTGTGTATCTTGACGGCTTGAGTGCAAACACGGCTGCCTCTCGGGTTCATAATCGGCGTTCAGCAAATCCTGCAGAGTGCAGGCATGCAACGATTTTCAAATGTGATCTGTGGGAGTCATCATTATCATCATCATCGATTGTGTACTATGTACTATACTTCCAAAGTTCCAGACGGACTGCTTGAGCTGACTTGCATCAATGTTTCGAAGGATGCACAGCACCTTTGCAATTGACGCTCGTGAACAGTCCACGCACGGATCACGAATAATCGTCCTTTCCGGTCGGAGAAATCTTTTAAGCTTTACGCGGTTATCCAACTCAAGTCGTCGAAATTGGGATGAAAGGAGATGGCGCCTGTGAGCTGCTGGTTACTTTCGCGTGGTAATTTCAGATGGTTTTCGCTCTTGTGCTGGAGACCCACGTCGCGAAGTAACTCGGACCAAGGATATTAGTGCCTCCACCATACCAAATACTCAAGCCCAGCAGGCAGGTTCAGGAAGCCGAAAGCACGGCGGAAACAGGTTTCGGAGCTTAAGCGTCGAACAGAATAACTTTGGCGGTTGCAGATCCCAAGATCAACGAAAAATGAATGTTTTCTAATTTCTTCGCCATTGTTAATTCGCGCTTCGCATCATCCCGTCTCCCAAATTCAATGTATACCAGAGCGAATCACAAATGAGCATTGAAGTTCGGAGTGCTTTTCAAGATGTCAGCCTAATGGGGGTCGGTACTTGGAAAAGAATGTCCATCGCAGCCAAATATTGGATTCAGAGCGATGGGGGTTGGTGAGGTGCAGGTTCTCGGAACAGCTTCACACCTCGGGCAGGCCGGCTTGCACCTACTAGCGCCTTTAGCCAATCATCCCCACACAGCGGCTGTCTCCTTTGAGATTACCATTTAGAAGATGGCCAGTCAAACCTATCGGTGCATCAACAGGCCTCCTATGGATCAGCCCAACAAACCCTGTGTTACCCACTTCTCAGAACGGGTTTTAGTTGACTTCCACTCTCTTGGCCTAAAACAAGTGCCGGGTACCTACAGCTACGAGGGTACTATGTAGGTTCTGATTATTGGAAGCCTCTATGAACGGGAATCGTCTCCAATCGCTATTACTCTTGTCTCTACCGGTCGTGTATATTCTTGGACAAGACAGAGACGGGGCCGAAGATATAGCATGGGGTAGGGTAGTTGCAGCATCTACGCACAAACCCACTTCAATAATTTGGTCCTCGGATCTTGGTGAGGCTTGAGGGTTATATATCCCTACCATACTTTTTTCTTTTTCTTTTTTTCTTTTTCAGCTTTGACCTACCTCATGAGGTCATTAACATTCCTAGAACAATTCTCGATGAGATTTTAATTGATACTCCCTGTTTTAGCCACAAGATCGTGTAATAAAACGGGCCCATTGTTGCTCAATACAAGCTGTGAAACTCACCACCATCCCTCCTTGAATCCACCGGATGTCGATTTCGGAATCAGGCCCAAACCGCTAAGCAATGTCGAAAGGAAACTCATTTTAGAGTCGTGATATAATTTCAAAAATTTTGTTAGCTCCTCAAACGGCTCCGTTACCACTGCTGCGAACGAGATATCTACACTTAAGGGCTGATCGTCGGCCCATGGCTAGTTACATAATTAAGGATGTTTCTATCTTCTGTGAATCCATGGATCCTTCGCAACTGACAGGTCCTTCCCAACCTTGGGATCGACCCGCAACACTTGCAGATTTGCAACCAGACCTGAAGAAGACCTATTAGTACTATCATGGGACATAGTTATCGATAAAGCAACATTGTCATTACTCAAATTATCTGATTTCCAAATATCAAGTCGACAGCTTCCTGCTAGAAGAGATGCACATTCAACCCCGAGCACTCTCAGTCTCAGAACAAGTACGCGATTCCCAATTTTCCATCTGGGGACCCGACCCGCTCGTCCGGCGAACTTTGTGCACAAAAATTTACGAGATCGAATACTGGCCGGCCCCCATCTTTACTGCACCAATATCATCTCTTCTTCCATCAAGCTTTTGCCAGGCGATTATTTACATGAGCAAATGCTCCTCTATGGACCAAGCTGTCTTAAAATATTTCATCACTGAGCATACTGTACTAGGCCATCAGTATTGACAACCCCACTACAATCATGGTGCTTTTTGTAGAAGAAAAGTAGTGGGGGGTACTTTGGGCAATCTACAAATATCATACATATTACCCCTCTCTGCCCGATTTTCGTGAAGAGAAGCATTGTTCAAGAAATCAAAATCAATTGACCAATACAAAGCAATGGATGACAAACGAAAGCTATTAATAAAAGCAATTTCCCTAACACTGGCAGTCCTGTTGCTTCTTCTCTCTGTGCCCATCATAATTGTTTACCTTTGTTACTTTCCAGCCGAGGCCAACCAGGGGTGCGCATCCACCAACTAAATTTAAAACCATAATTGAGTTAAAATTTAGCGCACACACCCCAGGCCCTCTGTGGAGCTCGCCGTCATCTTGACCAGCCTTGCTTTTAAGCTCCTTCAAAGGGAAAATTAGCAGTATGGAACCATGGTTCAAATGCTGAGGTTGACAAACGAGCTGTGGACTTCGAGATGATAATACTAATAATAATAATACAGCCCGAAGGTTTTTGAGATGAATTTTGAGGCACGACATGGTCCTATAATTATAATAGCCTTTTTCAGTCCTAGAATGAAACCTCTCATCGTGTAAGACGCCAACGTTTAATCCCACCATATCAGACGAAGAAAAAAGCAATGGCATTGGCCGCTTACTGGCACGCTAAATACTTCTGGCTGGTACAAATGTTAACAGGAGAAGAGCAGGAGAGTAAATTGAGCAGATTTACAGAGAGAAAATACTTGTGTTCCCTTTACATGATCGCTTGTATATACGATAAAGAGAGATCGGAATTTACTAAAGATGAAGGCGGCATTTCTTTCCGCGAAATGTGAGGCAAAATTACCGAGATTGAAAAAAAAAAAAAAAAAAAAAAAAATCATGACTAGACTGGGGTTCGATCCCAGGACCTTATCGGCACATTTCGGCGATGAGTCAACGTCGCTTGCGACAGTTGGCCGATTATGTGAGCGATACGTGATAACCAACTACACCATCCAGCCATTTTTGATAGCATTTGAGCCGGGCAAAAAGGCTTTTTTTCCATACTGGGTTTCTATAACCATCCCCACGGAAAGGAGTAGTAATGACCACGAAGTGTGGCTGTTTTTTATGAAGTTAATTTTTATAAGGTCTGGCTAAAGTATGCCAGAAATTTAGCTAGCGGGGTGTGAGGTGAAGAAGAGTCAATGAGATCCCACAGTCCAACTTATTCCGCGATGGCGCAGGCACTATTCAAAAGCATATGCAACTTCTCATCTCCAAAAAAAAAACCTGCTTCACAGATCTTGGAACAAAACATAAAACCAAATCTTAACTCCTCCTCCTCCCCCACCACCAAAGGCCATATATGCACCTCGTCTTAATCAAGGTGGCAGGATGATAATAAATTCATCAAAATGTTTCATTTATGGAGGGGGGTACCTGCACGCGCATAGAGATGGGACTTTTTAGCGTTGGAGAGAAACTTCTGCGATTGGTACCCTGCGTATCGCACGGACATAAGGAAGACGCAGGCATGAACCCTGGTACCCTGGGGAATGTTGGTAGCTCTGGACGCAGGTACGAGAAGTTAGAATTGTGAACAATGCTCGGTAACATTACCACCCTAGGTGTGGGGTCCAACTATTTGCTATTTATTGTTTTATTAACAGAACGTGTATTAAGTACACAGAGTTGGGCTTGCGTGTACCTGGAGGGCAAAAAAAAAACAAGAAAAGCAGCGAGCCAAAATGGTATCAGGGCCGAAATTACCCCACGAACCAAAATATCCATAATAATAAAGTACAAGTACAAGAGGACAATGAGATATGAGTCTGTTACAAGATATGGGTAGAAAAAGGGGAAAAAAAATTATCAAAGATGCATAAGAGAAGAAGGTCGGGTCAAGTTTTAGTTTGTAGGCAGAAGAGAGATGGAGCCGCACCGGGGACAATCTAACAAAACATAGAACGCCATTGAATGATTTTTACGTGCAACAACCCGGAAGATGAAAAGAAAAAGAAAAAAAAGAAAGTGTATATCAGAAGATAGCGGGGCATGGAATCAAGAAAAAAAAAAAAAAAGAAAACTGTGGTATAATAAACGACATAAAATGAAATATCGTTGAACATGCCCATAATAGCCCCCCAATGAACCAACGTAAAACTCCGTATCGTACCTCACCACAAGAAAACAGAGGGAATGGTGGAAACACCCCCAGCCCCTATTGTAACATTCGAAAAGAATAGACATCTCGCCGGTCCGTGTAGATAGAAAGTCGCCATTGTCGACGAGGGAGGAGACATGTAGCAGTCAACATGTCAAAAGACATTTTCAAGTATGTTCATCAATGCCATCTATCGACTGGTGATTTTCAGGCCCCTGGATAGCTTCCTGGGACCTTTCATGGTCCACGATATCCAAATCTGTGGCTTGGTGCTTGTTGACTTTGTTGTCTCCAGATGGCGGGACGGCGCAAGTAGATTTGTCGACATTTGTGTTGCCATTCTCAAGTGCGCCAGTAGCTCTGCCATTATTGCTTGCAGCGGCGTGCGACTCAGGTGTAGCATTGGCGCCAATCTCCGTATTGGCTGCCTCCACCTCAGTAGACTGAAGTATCGGACTTTCCAACTGTTCAAGTTCGCCACCCTCCCTGCTCTCAATACCGTCACCCATTACTTCATCAGCATCATTGGGGCCAAGGAACCTTCTACTTCGCCCTCTTCGGAGACCAATTGTTCTGCTGGAAGGGGTCGGAGTACCCGTAACCTGGCTGGCCGTTCGCTTTGGAGTACTGCGGCCACTTGTTCGTGCCGTAGTGGGAGCAGTGGTTGTAGTCGTGCGTCCTCTGAACTTATTAGCACGAGTTGAGCCGAAGGGGCGACCAGGTCGACGCTTGGTAATCGTTCCTGGGATCGGGGGGAATATTTCGAACCGCGTGGGTGGAATGCCGGCTGCTGGGTTCTGCATCATGGAGGACACTGACGGGGTCCTGACACCATTGGCTTGCCTCAATGAGGCACCATCAAAAGGCATCACACTCATTGATGGCGGGCCAGGGGGATCAAATGGAGGTGATACAGATCTGGCGTGACTGTGTCCATTGACGAATCCATCTTGCATGCTACTTGTATCGCTATTCAAATTTTCTGCCCGGTTGGTATACACATTGCTATCGCCGTTGCCTTCTATGTCGTCGTCCGCATCGGGCTCATCACGCGGAGCAACAGTATGTAATGGTGCCCGGTCATAGTGTGACTGATTGCTGCGACCCATAACATAAGGAGTCCAGACAAGAGCATTTGGATTGAGTCGTATATAATTTTTCTTCTCCCAATTTCGAATATACTCTTCAAAATAGGCGTAATTTAGTCGCAGGGCATATGTTTTGGTCTGGGGATCCCGGACGAGAGCCCGCAGTCCTTCCAAACCTGACACGATATCATCCGCTGTCATGCCAGTGCGCTCTGAAAGCTCGGCAATACTCACAGGAGATTTCTGATTTCGCAGCTGGTATGACAAAACGAGACGCCAGTAATTGCGGTATGATACTAGACCCAGATCTGACAGAGGTTTTTCTGGCGACCCTGTCTTCCGTTCCACCCTCGTTAGGAGATAGGAGAAATCTATCAGGAGGTTCCCGTAGCCTTTCCGTTGATGAATGGGGAGTGTTAAGATGCATGACACATTATTTGATGAGCTGGGCCTTTTCTCCTTGCTAAAGTAGCCAACGAAGTGGCAACCTAACTCATCATATTCTGTCATGACATAGAAAAGAAACGGTTCGACATCGTAGTAGAGCGTTTTGGATCCTAGGAATAATTTCGCAAGCAAGCAAAGGTTTTGGCAGTATACTGGATTCTTGCGACCATCGACTTCGAAAACTGAAACTGACCCATCTCGGTATATTTCGTCTCCGGGAGGATGTTTCGCTGGGCATTTCAGTTTGTGGCGCCAGGCAACAAAATCCGAATTCATATATTTGAGACAGAATTCGCAAATGTAGAGCACTCTGTTTCTACTGTATTCTTCTGGATAAGGCGCAGCATACCACGTTTCAATCTCATAGCCACCAAAGCTAATGTACTTTATTTTGCTTGGTGGCCCGGAGATTTTTGCACGTGGTGCGGATTCTCCAGGCTGCTCAGCAGCAGCCATTTTCTGTCTCCATTCTTCTTCGACTTTCTGGCGAGCGGCCTCGAACTTCTCCCGATCTGCAGCAAGAGGGAGTGTTCTTGAAGTATCAGCATCAGCTTCCGATAATATTCCACCGTAGGGCTTCGATTTGAGCTCATCGTTTTCTCGATCATGGAAGGCGTAAAAGGGAGCGCTGTATGCTGAAGGCGCGATGGGTTGGAAAGGAATTTGGGGAGATTCAACCACTGGAGGTGGTTTTGGCGGCCTCCGTCTCGAGATTTGCTTTTGCCGTGAGTTCAAAATTCTATTTAATTTCGTACTGTTTAGGTGAAATGAAAGAATAATCTTTCCTGCCTGACGTTGAACAATATTACAGAGGGCCTTTTCAGTTTTCCGCGTTCTTCGTGGTCTTGACTGGCGGCTAGTAACGTTGTTCTCGGTGGAATGTTCGATCAGTGCTTGTACTGTTTTCATATTCCTAGGTAAGGGAGTGGGAATCATCCCCTCGAATCTAGCGGGAATTTTCTTTTGCCGTTTTTGAGTAACCATATTCCCTTCTGGACCCTCGTCGGATGCCCTCCGCTTCCGAAGTGACCTAGAGCCATCCAATGGATCATCATCGACAATTAACGAACTGAAAATAGAGTGGGACTCGGGGCCTAACGCTTCGCTATGAGCGGGCAGTAGATCGATTGCAATGTTTGATGTGCCTGATCTCCGCCGGGATGGAGTCCTTTCGTGTTTATCAGGTTCTAGCTTGTTTTTAACACAACTAGGGCATCTCCAATTTTCAGCAGCTAATAAATTGACGAGTTAGTTAGCCTTGTCTAGGAATTTAAGAAAGCGGGAATGAGAAGTGATATGGAAAAATACCTTCTTCGCTATTTAAAGTTCCCCGTTCTCGCGCACATTGGCGATGGCCTAAGGACCGATTGATTAGACTCAACTCCACAATTCCGTCAGGGAACGAGCCAAGCATTTTAAAACTCATCAAAACTTACAATGATCACCACAAACGGCACATGATAAATACTCCTCGAACTCTTCACTAGGATCGTGTTCTTCATCTTGTCCACAGACTCTATATGTAATTAGCGACTATTTTTTTTTCGTTTGCTCATATGTACTGTTTGAAAACTTACATGCAATTGTTGGGATTTAACGCATCTGCGTCTGCATCTTCTCCGTCGTTGCTTTCGGCCTCCCATTCTTCATCTACTTCCGACTCTTCAGATGACTCGCCATCAGAGCCTGCCTTGACACCGCTGGATTCGTTTTCGAATTCAACATCCGGGTCGTCAATATCGTCGTCCTCATCATCGCTATCGGATTTAGCATTGCCATCTGGGAACTTCACAGCTCCGATGGCCTCGGTCTCCTCGTCTGCATCAGCATCCGCATCCTCATCCTCATCCACATCAGCAACATCATCCCTATGGTTCGTCTCAGGTTCATGGACCTCCCCAACACCACCCCCGTCATTCTCTTCTCGTTCACTGGCTTCAATTGTCTCGTCGCCATTTCCAAGTGTTAAAGGGGAACCGATATTCTCTTGTGGTATTACAGTCGCTGATTGTGTGAGGGTTGGATACAATTCATCATCTTCATCGCCTTCAGCATCTTGGTCACTATCTACCAGTTCTGGCTGTCGATCGATGCTGGTATTTCCGTAAGTGGCCGGCACAGTCGCCGCCATGGTATAAGCTACTGCAGTCGCCAGATTGACGATGCGCCTAGACCATTGGGCCACTCTGCTCGGGTTGGCAGATGACTGCACAGCTTGTTCCTTTATATATCGTTCGGGGGAGATGTGAGGTTCGCCGTGGCAGATGCTTGTATCCCAAGGGTTGGAGATGCGGACGTCTGCAGCAACACTGTAGGGTAG